CCCCAAAACCCCAAAACCCCAAAACCCCAAAACCCCAGATTTTAGTTGCGGTATTGAATTATTTACTCTGACTCGCAGCACCACTAAATGCTTCCATGATGCCAGTGGCAATACTATTAATGATTCCAGGTAGGAAAATAATTGCAAGGGTGATGTATCAGCACTTCTTGGTATTGCTCATCTTAGGCTTAGCCTGTTTCTCTTCCTTCTTGAAGTAGTTATCGTTGCTCCAGCCAGCAAGGATATTGCTGATGGATTTTGAGCTGTCAGTCATCAATTTCATGAACTGTGCTTTATCATCTTTGATGAACTTCTTTTCAGCATCAATGAAGACTCTGGAGAAACCAACTGACATATGGATCAAGAGGTTGAACAATATTTTGAGGAATTCCAGTTTTTCAAATCTAGCTAACCTGCGTGATTTTGGCAAGGCACCTTCAATTGCTTCTTCCCATGAGTCGTTGAATAGGATTTGAAATTCTAAATAAATGAATAGAACACAGATTATAAACACTGATTTGATGACTGCTCTTTCTTTGGCTGCGAAGAAGACTCCGAAAATGATGAAGGTGAACATATAGGTAATAACTGTGTTTAGGAAGGCTGTACTTTCATATCCCTTCTTGACTTTTTGGTCATCTTCTTTCTCGTTAGATGGAGAGTAAGGATTGCCAGTGAGCTCATAATGCTTGTTGTAGACTCCTTCTGTTAAGGCAAGCATGTTATACTTAACGTTGGTGAGCTCCTTCTTGTTTGCACCGTATATCTGAGCATCCTGAGTCATTTTAGCAGTCATCTCAACTACATCTTCCTGGGTATATTCTTTCCTGACAACGCCAAGCTTTTCATAAAGATTCTTAGGCCTTTCGCTATATTAAAAAGGATAGAAAAGACTGTGAACAAACTTTGAAACAGGGTGAATCAGTTTATGACTAACAAGATGCCTTCAGAGACACCTCCACTACGTTCAGGCTCTGGAAAGATCCATAAACTTTTCCTTCACTTACTTATATGTGTTATTGACCATGTAGGTCATCACGGCGAGGTTGATCGCACAAAATATAAGTATTTTCTTGATTTTACTATAATTTCTGTTGAAAATGACTTTTGAATTGACAATTTCAATGAAGATCAGGTAAAGAATCTGATTCATTTTCCTTTTTAACAAGTGTTAATTTATATTTATAATAATTTTAGAACTTCCGGGGTTTTGGGGTTTTGGGGTTTTGGGGTTTTGGGG